GTGTCAACAATGTTTTAGGAGATTTTAAAAATATTTTGGGTTGATTGTATATTCGTGCATAAATGTGAGGTAAAGTTTTTCACCATATACTTTTTGGATATTGAAAATATAACGGGTTTTTTGTATAAAATAGTTGTAATCTAATGTGATGATAATACATTTTAAAAGGGGTCTTAGTTTTAAATGAAAATATGTTTAAGGTTTTACCATTAGGCCTACTATTATTATGAAATAGGAAGGGGGAGCAGCTTGGGATTAATTTAACCCAAATATGAATGAAAAGCCTTGATTGGTTCATGTGTAGGCCTATTGTTCGTTGATCGCATAATGTTCGGAGTGTACAATGAAGTGCGATGCTTTGTGTTTGCTTTGTGCGACAGCTCTGTCAGTGACTTGAGACTTTTAGCCAAGACCATTTATTAAAAGTCCATTGATCAAGGCTCTGTTTTTTGCAATGTTTTGTTATAATGTAGTACCTATAACTCTTTATAAATTTTGTAAATTTTACTGTGCCAGAAACAACCATTTGAATTTGTCTATTACATTTGTGTGAAAATGTTTAGTGACAGTAAAGATACTGAATCTAAGTGCACGATTTTATAACTGAACTTGAAGACATATAAATAAATCGTTTTATAATAATCTGATAAATTTAACGTATTTATCCCAATGAATAGTTATTTATATACTGTGTATTATAGACTACGAACAATGGATTTGAAATTTGGAAAACCCAGGCACTGTGTATATTCTCTAGATTAATACAATAACTTCTAACGAGTAACAAGTAGATAAAAAAAAAAAAAAAAAATACACAAAGAAAAATTACTTTAACAATGGTAACTGTGAATAAAATAAATGATTCAACTCAGTCATTGAAAACTTTGTGAAATTGCATACGTATTAACTACACAATAAAATATCATTGATTATTGTAAAATGTTCTAGTAGAGAATATTATTTTATCGATGAAACATAAAGTTGCAGAGACTTACATTCCCAGCCTCACTGATGCGAACTCAAAGAAACGTTATTCACTCCATTATTTCTTTCCAATTTGAATATTTTAACCTCAAAGCGCTTCCCGAGCCTGGACTACATATTCCGGATTCTGGAAATATTCAGATAAATCAGCTCTCCCGGGATGATTTGGTAACTTGTAATTAGATGTGCCATAACTTGAAGTGTTGATCTCAAATTCGCAGTTTAAAATAATATATCCCTCTGTACTCTCAGACTTGACTAACTTTTGAAATATTAGACTAATATTGTGTGTTAGAAGCAAGCAAGAAGAAAGATGAAAAAGATTTGACAATTCCCCGGTCTCCAATGACTGTGGCGAAGACTTCGATGATAAATGGTAAATGGTAAATGTTCAGTCAGAAACGGTTAGGATATTTTGGAATTTTTAAACCAATTAGACTACAGATTTGTAGGTTTTTTGGTGCCAAGATATTTTTGCACATCACTCAATATTTTTAATCAAGGGTTTTATTTGCATAGATTATATAGAACTTGATAATTAAAAAGAAATATCACAACTACAGTAAACACAATTCCCAATTCTTTAGAAGACGTATTTTATTTTATCAGTGCCGATGGCTTTGTAAACACGCTGACCAGTGAAATTTTATCATTATACAATCAGTTAGGCAAATGCGATGCAAAACAAACATAGCATCAGAAAAAAACATATAATAGTGATATTATTAGTAGTATGACAAAACATTACGTAAAAAATGCTATTATAAAAACAAATTAAATAGATAACAAACGAATTACTTAAGTGTTCCAAACTTTAGCAAAATATCAGAATTTCTTTAAACTGCAGCACTACATTGCGTCAATTTTGGTTGACTGAAATGGTTTGTTTTTAAAACACTGGATATGTCCTTTGGAATAAATAAATAAACAATACAAGTAATTGTACTCGAAAATGTCGCAAATTGAGTCGAAATAGCTTTGATAACACAAAAATATACACAGCATACAAAAAGAATTAAGTCAAAACAAGATTAAATTCTTTGAAGAAGATATTGGCTACAAATTAGGTCAACGTTTGGATTTTTCATGATTAAGATTGTCTTTCAATTGCAAGAGCGAGACAACCACGGCCGGTCAGCAGATGTTGTTAAACTCGAAAGTCCTGCAAGGACAAGACCTCGTACATAGTTGAAATAGTGTTGAAGAAACAAAATCATAAATAGGTACTATACTAAAAGAATCAATAAAAACATTATTGTTGTTTTCTTTAAAAAATATACTGGCCACAAATTAGGTCCTAATTTCCATTATCAACACCAAAAACGTCTTTTGATCGCAAGATCACATAACAATCATTGTCGGCGGACGTGGTTGAACTCGAAAGTGCCGCAAGGCCGAGACCTTGGGCTTCCTCGATTACCCAACCAGTGAAAGTTTTATCACCGGCGGCACAGCTGTGGGTTTAGAAGAAATACGGGGTCCACCAGGAGTCTGTGCGTTTATGAGCAAAAAGAAAGATCATTTAAACAGACGTTGAATAAATTAATATTTAATGAGTCATCGATCAGATGTACCGCAGAGGTTATTTATGGGATACCACAAGGCTCAGTTTTAGGACCAATGCTTTTTGCGCCTTTACAAGAATGTCATGGAGGAAATAGTGTTGAATTTCAATAGGGTTTGTTAACGGTACAATTTAACTAAGATAGAATCTTCATATACCTGTTATACTTACACACATTTCAATTGTTAACGCATGGTAAAATTATTAAAATCATATTTTGTTTTTTGACGTATTCACTTCAAATATTTTCATTAAAAAAAGTATTTGCACCTATAACATATTTTAAACAATAAATTTAATTAAACAACTAAAACAGTTAGGCTAAACATCAACAAATATTCTTCCCTAATAGAACAAATAGGCTACCAATGACAGTTGCAAGGAAACTGGTTTAGCTTACTTAGAAGGTTTTAAAAACTAACAATGCAATTGGCATTATTCAAATGGAGCTATTTTGTTAAAACAAAAACACTATTGATTATTTAATATGTTAACAAGTTAAGACTGAAACAGGTGTCAACAAAATTTCTAACGTCCTATAATAGCACGCTTATTACTGTTTTTCTGGTATGTGTAATAAATATCTAAAATTCGCACTATACAAGCAAACCAAGAGTATCATCACTTTTGGTGTCACATAGACTAATTACATATTACCTAATTAAAATAAGGATACCTTAAACATAAATATAAAATCATAATACTTAAGTACTGGAACACTATACCAACTCGTAACATTTTCCAGCCTTTACACAACTTATAGCCAGTTAAATCGTTGTACTGGCGTAATAGTTTAGATTTGAAAATATTACTAACTTGGGGACTTTTTACAGCAGTAAGAGTAGCAATTGGCCCTATATTCCACTTACATGTGGGTTTACAGTTCTTTTGGGAGTCGTTCTACTATATGCTTAGTGCAGAAACCATCCGGCCAAGCTGTTTCTCAGATAAATCTCAGATTTCAGGGCTTCCCATTTTCTAAAATAACGACAATTTCGTACTACAAATTTTACTGGAACTAAGCTTCTGGCCAAAAGATACAATTATTTTAGCGGTATTTGTTGTAGGACACGAAGAATAACACTTTAAGCTATCTGTCTTGCATCAAGTATTTAATTTTATTAATTAATTTATTTATTTTAATTAGTTTATTTATTTGATGGAAACAACCATTTACAATATATGCTAATTAATTAATATGCTGTAATTAACAAAACAATGGCATGGTAATTAGACGGCTAAAATTGGTGTGGTGCGTAAAACACCATGACATATTTTTAACAATATTACAGTAGATAATATATCATAAATAGGTTATCAAGGATATCCAAGGATATCAATATAAATAGGATATATAAAATAGCATATCAAGCTTCTGTGAGATAACTTGTGTAGCTTGGGATGTGATTAGAACTTCTTAATTAGGAAAGCTATTAATGTTTGTTTTCAGCTTAGTCAAAGTTAATAAAGATCTCTACTATTATTAATGACCATTTGGTCTAGTTTCAAATAAACCACAATCCTAGTTTTTTTTTTCAAAATCTAACTACTGTAATTATCTTATAATTACTATCAATCGATAACTATATACTATTTAAAATGTAGATGTTTATTATCAGAACTATGAATGCTATTGTTGTGTTTATTAACGCAAATGTAATTTTTAAATTTTTGCAAGGTTACGGTCCAAAACCTTTCTTTTCACTAAGGGAGACACATTATATTTTAATTGGCAAATTAGTGAATGAAGAACTAATAAAAAAGAGAAAGAAGATACTGCAATTCCAAATTACTTCTTAATGAAACAACACAAAATGTATACTTTATTAGGTGTTTTTTTATCATTTGCCACGATTTTCACATGGATAACACCCATTAATGTTCGGGGATTTATCCCGGACTTCGGGAACAAAGTCCCGCACTCTACCAGCTCACCTCCTACAGGTATTCAGATGACATTACTTTTTTACAGTGAGAGTTGAGTTGGAACGTAAGGTCAAACATTATAATGTGCAAAATAATATCGCTCAATGTTTTAATGAGTAAATTTAAATAAATTAGTAAGGGTTGAAAGTGTGTTATAGTTAATCAAAATATTTTTTCCATTTCAGAAGGGATATACCCCAGTTCAAAGAGTAAGGAGTTTAACCGTATAACTATCTACCACAGAACCATTAGTTGGGGACCTAAGTGGTTATAGTGCTCGCATAACAATCAGAATGGCATCTTGATCCTGAGTAAGTAAGTAACTTGGTAGAAGTTAGTAGTTGAACCAAGTTGTCCTCATTCATTAGGCTTTTCATAAATGATTATGCAAATAATACTCAAAATTTTGTCTGGAGGAACAAAATCGTAACCCTTTCGTTTCCTCTTTATTTAATAATTAGACCACACTATTAAGTTACTACTCGTAAAGTCACTATGGAAGTTACTGTTTATAATGATTACTTACCGTAATAAGGAGGCAGAAGCCTTACAAAGGATGTGTTGGCGGCTCCCCATTCTGTGTGCCTGGCGTTGTTACACCTTCCATCGAAGGATCTGTATTTGGACACTGAACACACTGTCTGAGCATGGCTGGTCCACGTAAGTCTGCAAAAGAAAATTTGATTAAGATTCTCAATGGACAGATCCAGGTACACAGAGAACCTTAGCTAAAAATAGTCGATGGCAGAGTTATTTGAAACAGTGCTGCGTTGGTAGGGCGATTAAACCAAGACGGCAAAGTATACTATGCAAGACAGATATGTTTGCTAGTTGGATTCCATCCCCTTGTATTTGCATTCATCATGTGTATGGAAAACCCTTGTAAAAATTGTAATTCGATAACCATTTATTTGTGACAGGATCGTTAAAAGTATTGCTGTAAAATTAAAATATTCATTGAAATTGGGACTGATTTCTTGCAATTGAACGTCAGCAGTCTTTATTTCCGTAATTCAAACACCAACAGTAAAAGCTACTTAAATATAATATTCCCCTTTCGATATTAAGACACTCTGATATTAAAATGCTTGAGGGAAGGGTTTTGGAAATAAAAATAAGTTGGTGAACAACAAATGTTTATTTCCAAAAAGTTTCCCTTCCTCCCAGTTGGTCTCCATAACCAACATTAATCACAGTGTTTGCAACCAAGTTTACAACTGGTTAGTTTGCTCACTTAGTCCTTAAATACATTCAAACAGCTGACTGAGAACAGCTTAAGAAAATCCTATATTCTAAAACAAGTGCGTGTAGGGGTAAACATTTATTTTCGTCCGAGGAGTTTTGATTTTTTGTTGTTGTAAATTGGGTATTTGGACACGAAACATCGATTGGAGTTGGTCACAATACTGGGAAAAATCGAGGTTCTGTCCTACAGCCCTTGAAAGTGCCCATGTTATCGACAAAACCTTTTTGTTGTGGCAATTAACGAAAATAGCTGTTGCAGGTTATTTATATTGTCGTATTTTGGTTTGACGTGTAAAAAATACAACTGCATTGGTTAGTTTGGACCATTGACTATTGGATACTGAAGTAGACATTCCATCTATATGGACCAGCTGTAGCGGATTTATCAAAGTCGTGCATCGAAGGATGAAAGTGTTGAAATAATTTCAGATGTTATGGCCGAGCAATATGATGGACAACAGGCAGATCATTTTGAGTAGGAGAGTCGACGAATCGCTGCTCTACGTTTGGAAGAACGTCAGCGATGTGAGCGATAAAGTCACCTTGTCGGCGGATTAGAGGCATTTTATTGAATAATTATTATGCACCCACATAGCAAGTGGACAATATTTGGAAATTTGAAATACCGTGCTTTCCTTGCTACGCTTAATGCTGAAACTGTAAAGTTAAACTACGATATTATCCAAATGCTACTGGGCAATAAGAAGGTTTGCACAGGTTTCGATTCAATAATTAACTAATTTAATCAATGTTTTATTGAATCCGAGTTAAGCTCAGTATCCCGGTACTGTAATAAAAATTTGCAGATTTAAAAATCATGGTGTGCGTGAAAATGCTTTATAGCAGCTTTAAAAATAACACAGGTAAACATACTAGTATTTCTTGACGTAAAACTGTATGAATGAATAAATTAGATGTTTCTTCACAAAGGCGAGGGTTTAAAAGATATAAAATACATAAAATGTGTCAAAGCAATGGAACTCGGGCGGGAAAAGGCGAGCAAACAAGTTTTGCCTAAAGCGAATTCCTGGCAAGTGTTTAGGTGCGTGTCGATTTAAGTGAGTCAAGGATTTTACAAAAAGCAACTTGAAGGAGCAGTCAACCAAGGACTCGATAAATGTGTCAATTCATAAACTTCACCACACAAATACACTTCTAAATACCCGCTCAGTGCACTAGTAACTTAAAATGACTTTAGACAAGTTTCGTGGGGAGAAAGTTTTACATTTTCAATAAAAATCTTTGCATAAGCAAGTTAGTAAATTTAGAATGTAACAAGTGCTGAATAACGTTTTTCAGGTTTTGTAAGCGGTTTCTCTCCAGTGACTGTAAGAAATTGTATACAACTTTTTACTTAAGTAAGAGATTACATGAATTGTGTTTGTAATTCTTTTTTGGCGTTCAATTACCTACTTGGTATGCATTGATTGAATGTAAGTATATGGCCATGGTGAACATGCGTTGCACTATTGGGCATGAAATAATTAAATCGTCAAGCGAAACTGGTACAGTGGAAAACCTTTACACGAACTTACAACTCACGTTTCCTTTCAAAATATAAAACAACGACGTGTCTTAATGAACTAGTTAAAGCAACATTGTGTTTCGACCAACAAGAGGTTTCTACTCCAATGAGAACATGAATAACATACATATGTATATTCACACTCACACAAACACACAATGAGGCGCGGCTAGTCTAGTGTCTAGAGGTTAGAAAGGGGGACTATGATCGTGGAGGAACAGATAAAAATACCGCCAACAATCAAAGGAATTATTTTTAGCTAAATAAAAAAGAGTGCTGCCACTTTATGTTTCTGATAACGTTTGCAAACAGTTATGTTTCCATTTCCTAAAGAGATCCCTAACATTGGGGAATAGAGGATTGGTGGAATGGTGACAGAGTAGACCGTTGAACAAAGGATTGGTAGAATAGTTACAGGCGGACCTTTGGAACAGAGTAATGGTGGAATTATCGCAGAGTAGACCTTTGGAACAGAGGATTGGTGGAATGGTGGACTTCAGAACAGAGTAATGGTGGACTTCAGAACAGATTAATGTTGGAATTGTAGCAGAGTAGACCTTTGGAGCAGAGGATTGGTGGAATGGTGGACTTCAGAACAGAGTAATGGTGGAATTGTAGCAGAGTAGACATTTGGAACATAGGATCGATGGAATAGTGGCAGGTTGAGACTTTCGAATAGGGGATTGGTGGAATGTTTGAAGATTGGACCCTTTGGAACAAAGTAATGGCAAAATGGTGCTAGAGTGAACCTTTGGAACAGATGGTCGTTGGAATCGTTACAGATTGGACCATTGGAACAGAGTATCGGCAGAATGGCAGAGTGGAACGCTTGATCGGTGTAACACGGAAGAAATGTGGAATGGAACCGGTTGGAAGATAGAAAGCCACCCGACTTACGTAGCCGTAATCGAGAGTACCCTGAATGTGATATAAGTGTAATTATAATATGGGTCCAGGTTCCAGTAGCAAACGTTAGAGATTGAGAAGTGGGCAATAGTTCTCGGTGTGACGTAATCCTAGATATAAACTTAGGAGTAGTGTGCTCCAGGATTGAAACGGGTGTAAGAAATGTGTGAAATCGAAAGTAAAGCTCACGTTTTTAACTTCAGTACGTGGATGTCTAATCTGCATTTATAGGCTTCTAGTTGTGTTAGCACTTTCTCGAGGGATATACAGGAGAATGTGGCTCTTTATATATTCTATATCATAATGTTCAACACATTTATATTACAACCATTGACTTTGAAATGTACAAGAATACCTCAGCACAAACTTTGAAGCCTTTTTCAACGTGTTTTCGTGGTGGTGACCTTATGGTGTGGTGTAGACGACTTAAGTGTTTCTCTCTCAGGGGAAATTTTACGATAGGTGCTTCGGGAGGGTGGGAGACAGAAGAAGTAAGATACAAAATAGTAATCAACAAAACGTAATCTACATGATGGTCTGGACAACACTATACAATCATACATTTGTCTTTAGCAACGTATGTTTGATCTCTGCTACAACCAGAACATTTATGATATCAATACCACTTTTACGCGTGCAATTTATTGCGCGTTGTTAATCACTGTAAATGCTCTGAGTATCTTAGAACAGTGAGCATTACTAATTAACGACTGAACAAAAGAAACTCCACTACATTTCAAATCACCATTAATTAACGACGCACAGAACGTAATATGAGAACTTGACACGCACGTAACGTATTCCTCTATTGACTGGAATAATTCGATACATCTGGAATAAAGTTTCAGTTCCACAGTTTTCCTATTGCCTCAAAAATACTACAGTAGTACTACAAAAAATACTACATAAATATAACAAGTGAGTATGTTTATTGCCTGAATTCACCGGTTACATCGATTTTGCAATCGTATGCACCCCATGCTATTGCATAAAGTTATGCCTTCTATGATATTCTTTGTCGAGGAGCATTTAGACCAAACTAACCAAACCTTCATCGAACAGTTTTAAATGTAAATACATTTTTTTATTTTGAAAAATGGTCTTAAATCTACAGAACTCTCTAGTTGTTGGCTTGGTATGAAAAGTGTGGTGGAAACCCCATCTATTCTATTAGATTACATATTCTGTTACAGTGTTGTCACTAGACATGCCAATCTACAAAGTATACTAAACTACTAAATGTATACATATTTCAGATTCCAGACTTTATTTAACTTGACATCACTTTTTTCTCAAGTTTATTATACGAAAATATTTTAGCGAGACCTAATTTATAATGAATCAATACTTGTATAATCTCACAACGAAATTAATGCCGAAGTAGCTTAGTCAACAAACGAAAGTGTAAAATTATACGTCATGTCTGAATTCCCGCGTGCGCCGCCACGGCCACCGAGATCGCGTGAGCAGCGACGGAGTCAAGGCCTTCTAGATTTGTTCCTGGTCAGTGCCGTTGTACTATAACAACTTACTTTCATTTGCGCTTGCACATTAGCTGTGTGCTGCGCGTGCGCGTGGGTGATTCCTGAATTATTCATAAGAGTGCGGGATCAGCTGTTTTTCCTGTATGTGTGTGTGTCGGGAATTTTCTGTTGTAATGTTATTCGAATCCCATCACTATTAAGGCAATACATCCGTACATCTTTATAGAAGTGCTTACACATTTACTACCATGTTGACATGGTAGAGAACTTGCACTTCTACCGTATTTAAAAGCTGAAACTTGACTTTTTTTGGCATGACGACTAAAAGCTTAATTTAGTTAGGTATTTTACTAATAGACCTGTTATGTGTTGAAATACTGTTGTTCGAGTTAGTTAAATAATTACAGAACTAAAAGGTAAACCAATGCAATCAAGCGTTGAAAGTGGCTATCAAATGATAAAGCTATTTTGACTAACTTATTAAAAAAATATGGATGTTAAATCTA